AAGAATTTACACACACAAAACAAAAAAAACAAAAAAATGTTTTTTAAAGTCCCCCATCCCCACATAGATACGCAAAAATGCGTTAGATGCGCCTACAAGCAAAAACGTTGATAGCTCCAATTATGCTGCACGTGTTACATATCGCCGCGAGCGTCGCAATGAGAGCAATAATTCTCGGGCCATCAATCACTGATAACACTAAACTGATGAGCGGTAAAATCTTTTAAAGCGTCGCCTATGGCCAATTTTGGGTATGGTAGTTTTCTGCGATGTCGCAGGTGCGCGCAATTTTAAAGCTTGACATGTTTGGTGTCTAGTTAACCGACGTGACCCCGACTTTTATATTTTACCAAAAAACTGGGTAATAATAAGTGTTTCCTAACATAATGTAAAAAAAAGCTATGGTTTTTCTTTTTGCGATTTCGCGCCTTTTATATTTTACCAAAAAATTGGGTAAAAATAATAAAGGGAAAACCATTTTTTAAAACATATTCTGTACTTTTTTTGTTATATAGTAAAAAATAAAAACCCCAGTGGTTATTAAATATCACCAAAAGAAAGCTCTATCTGTCCCCAAAAATTGGTATAAAATTAAATTTCAGTAAAGCGTTGCATGACGGAATAAATGTCAAAGTACTGCAGCGCTGAACACTGAAAAATGGCCTGGACAGGAAGGGGGTGTAAACACCCCGGTCAGCAAGTGGTTAACACTTTAATGTATTCTGTGACAACTGTCAGAGTCTTTGTTTACATTCGGGATTGGAATGTCATCAAAGAAGCAGAAGCTGTTACAGAATAACACATAGCTCTCAGCTTCTTTCATTGTTTACATTTTGTAACAATACTCGGGATACAAGTCCAGAATGTCAACAAAGAGCAGAGAAACCATAGAGCTGTAAATTACAGCTCTCCTGCTTCTGTGTTTTGTTCTGAATTAAATTCGGATGTACCCGAATTTCGTTTCAAACATTCGGATGGGTTTGGATTTGTTATTTATGTCAATCGGAAATTCGGATGCATTCGAATGTCCGAATTTACCAAAGTTAGTACGAATTTTAATTCGGAACTAAACGAATGCCGCAGTGCTAAGGTGCTCTTTTACTACTATGAATGAACAGCCTATGCTGTGGACTGTGTCAGACACGGCACCAGCCTAGACAGCACTGGTCATTCATTTATAACAATAAAACATCACTCAGAGCTGCAGGGTGGCTCTGTGATCTATATACTGGGGCTATGTATATTTACAAGCAGCCACAGATAGACACACAACCCTGCAATGCTGAATTATCTTTTACTATTATGAATGAATGATCAGCATTGCAGGGCTGTGTTTTAAGAGCTACCGATGCCCTGTATGTTTACTAGCAACCAATGGCTCTACCACAGAGCCTTGCATGATGATTGTTCATTCATAAAAGTAAATGAGCAGTTAGCTTAGGGAGTGGGCAGGACCTCAGTGCTGGGTGTACCTCCCCCACAGGAATGCCTATATATTGGGCTTCAAACTGGGGTGGAGCTACAGCTGGCATTACCATAAAAAAGGAAATGCTTATAATCTGCAATGGGGCCATCGATCAGAATAGAAATAAGTTCTATACGCACTGGGTCCCCTGGGGGTTTAAAAAAGTTTAAACATTTTTGTGTGAGTTCTTCGTTGAGAACATAGGAAGGGGAGTATCAGGGTGTGCTTTAGTGTTAGGGACACTTAGAGGAATCTTAGAATATTGACTCGACTGGAAACCTTGTTTTGAGAACTAGCAGAGCTCCACTGAAATCTTAAACAACATAAGGGTGCTGGAAAATGCTATTCTTAAAACCTAGAACTGAAGCCTTTTATATAGAAACTAAACATTTTGGTACAAGAAAGAAGCAAGAGATTTCATGGGCTATGGGCTTGATAGAGGTTAATATAGGTTAATATAGGTTAATATATTTGGTGCCCCTGTTTCTGCACAACTTTTGCCACATTATAAGGTTATATAATGAAATTATGGCAACATTTATTGTAACAGTTAGTTATTTAGACATCATTATTTTAACCTTCAATCTGATTTGTAATGTTTCTATTCAAAATGTTACAAAAGGGCATGATGACCTTTACAACAGCTGATTTCCGATAATGATTAATTTTCATTGCTTCTTTTGTCATTGTTAAAGCTTTGTCCACAGAGAGTAGGTTAGGTGCTGACCTTGAATATGTAATGTAGAATGTAAAAATGTAAGGTGTTTAAAGAAACCAATCATCACTAAATTCTATTTTTACTATATTATACTTGAAAGGGATGACTTGACTTGTATGGAATGTATTTATAAAAAATGAGAAGCTCCTGAATGTTCACAAAAATTAGATTTTTGTACTTACTGTAAAATCTTTTTTTTAGAGTACATTGAGGGAGACAAAACCATTATAAATCATATACAACTGTGTTATACTGCTGCCTTTAGGATGACTGAACACTGGTGAAATCAAAATATATGATAAGTCAGCCCACTGTACAACCTTGCCTCAAAACATTGAGAGCAAGCCATATTTAAGACCAAGAATTAGGGTACTAATAGCACATCAGAAAATATGTGGAACAAAACAAAGCCTGAAAACAGTCAAACTGGGCCAAGTAGCTACTTGGTGAGTGAAAGAAAATATATATATATATATACAGTACTGTGCAAAGGGTTTCCGGCAGGTGTGAAAAAATGCTGTAAAGTAAGAATGCTTTCAGAAATAAAAGTGTTAATAGTTTATTTTTATCATTGAACAAAATGGAAGGTAAATGAATAGAAGAGAAATTCAAATTAAATCAGTATTTGGTGTCACCACCCTTTGTCTTTAAAACAGTATCAATTATTCTAGGTACACTTGCACCCAGTTTTTGTAGGAACTCGGCAGGTAGGTCGTTCCAGACACCACAGATCTTCTGTGTATGTAGGCTGCCTCAAATCCTTCTTTCGTTTCATGTAATTCGGACAGACTTGATGTTGAGATCAGGGCTCTGTGGGGGCCAAACCCTCATTTCCAGGATTCCTTCTCCTTCTCTACACTGAATAACATTGCCTGTATGTTTAGGGTCGTTGTCCTGTTGCAGAATAAATTTGGGGCCAATCACACACCTCCCTGATGGTATGGCATGATGCATAAGTATCTGCTTATATTTCTCTGCACTGAGGACACCATTGATCCTGACCAAATCTCCAACTCCATTTGCAGAAATACAGCCCCAAGGACTTGCAAGGAACCTCCACCATGCTTCACTGTTCCCTGCAGACACTCATTATTGTACCGCTCTCCAGCCCTTCGACGAACAAACTGCCTCCTGCTACAAACAAATATTTCAAAATTTGACTCATCAGTCCAGATCACCTGCTGCCATTTTTCCGTGGCCTTGTGGCCAAAACGCCATACCTCTGACGTGGAAACAAGGCTAAGCAACTCAACTATGCATGAAAACATAGGAACTGAGGTACAGAACAGCAAAATATTGTGTGTTTAACTTGCATGTGGAGTGCTGGGCAGTTCCATGTACAGATGGGAGAAGGACGACTCTCTGCTCAGGCAGCAGTTGTATTGCAAAAGAGCTGCCCAAGCTCAACAGGTCATAAGCTGCTAACACACCCTCTACCAACTTGAGCGGCAACACTTTCCGTTTACTGCCTATAGGAAGGAGAGTGGTCCTGCTCCCATCTTTACACAGAGCTGCCCAGTGCTCCACATGTAAGAAGCTGCTGACCCTTCTTCTTCCATCTTGAGTGGCAGCAACTCTGTGTACAGATGGAAGCAGGACTACTCTGTTCCTATAGGCGTAATGGGAAAAAGCCAGTGCGACCCAAATTGGGAGGGTGTGTGTCAGTAGGGAAGGGGGCGTGTCAGTAGCAATCTGGCTACAGGGGACAAACCATCCTGTAACTCCTAGCATTGATCTCAAGGAGGCAAACTGACCAAACCAGAAGGGATCTGCTTAGAAAGAAGCCACAGCCTGAAAAAAAAAAAAGCCTGTCCCTTGCCAGCACGCTGTAGAGAAGGACCCTTGCTCACTGTGTGGAAACAGTAGTCTCTCTGCAATGGTCAGACACACCCCCTGCTTAGTCTGACCTTTAGCTCTGCAATCAGCACAATAACAATCACTGCAAGCTCATACTTAGCAGGAAGTATGTTGGTCATGTACAAGGGTTATATTATGGCAGTGTAGATGTAAATAAGGCTTAGCTGGGTTCTTATGCATCAAAATGTAGAGTCAGTGAAGACACTGGATAGTGTGTAGTTAAATTTTGAACACTGTTCCTTCATATTTCTCATACATTGTTTAAAACTAAAACAGATGGAAAAAGTGACAGATATAATTTAGTCCTTTGAAGTGGTTAATGTCTTGGATGGGAATAAAATAATACGTGCAGCATTCTGTGCATGTATCTCCAAGAGCACTTATGGCTCTTGGTGGATAAACCCATGTGTATCAGTAAGTTTGGTTGTGTGCAAATTGATTCAATTACCAAGCCATTAGCTTTGTGAGTTATTTTTAATTTATGACAGGTACTCTAAACAGTTTCAGATTAAATCGGATTTTATTTTTGGCCTGTTAAAAGTTGGAATGTTTTGTTGGAAAGTTTAAAAAACCTGCTTTTTCAAATGTTCATTATCAGAGTGTACATACCTTCATAAATAACAAAGTGCATACCACACCATGATCTTTTCCTTGTTCACATGAATGCTTGCCAGAAACTGTATATTCTCTGGATTTGGGATGTTAGTTTAGGTTTGTAGCAGTTGAGCAGATTCAAGGAAAGGTATTTTTTTTCAAAGTCACGTCTGTCTGTCCCATCACCAGATGCTCCTTCAGTTATCAGTAACATTTCACAACTCTTGAGATTAATCGCAGTTACCATGTAAACAATGTATTGTAATGGAACGACTGAAATGCCACTCTCAACAGCCTTTACAAAACATAGTTCAGCGACAGAGAGAGAAGCCTCAGAGCATGAAGTTTCTGTGAAATACGTGGAAGATGGGCAATACAGTAAGAGGAATTATTGCATTCATCCCATCAAACAGCTGCCAAAAATACCTACTCGGTGACTTGGAAGAAATGCCTATAGATAAGATGGTGGACTTGAGCAGTATGCAACTTAGGAGATTTCCTCTAAGAGTATGTGCATTCACAGAACTTGTCAAGCTCTACCTAAGTGACAACAACCTAAACAACCTTCCTCCAGAGCTGGAACTGCTGCAGAATCTGCAGATACTAGCCTTGGATTTTAACAACTTTAAAATTCTTCCACCAGTTGTATGCAGCCTCAAGCAGCTGTCTATATTATACCTTGGAAACAACCGGCTTAAAGACCTTCCACAAGAACTAAGTTTTCTGAAGAACCTGCACACTCTTTGGATTGAGGCCAATTATTTCGAAAATTTGCCTGTTGTCATCTGTGAGCTGCCTCTCTTAAAGACGCTTCACGCCGGTTACAACCCAATCCGAAACATTCCCATGGAGCTTAAGAATTTAAGAGAACTGAAAAGTATTTGGATGTCAGGAACACTTCTTGAGAAATTTCCACCAGTATTCTTGGAAATGTCTTTCCTGGAGATCATTGATGTGGACAGAAATGCTATTAGATCTTTCCCAAGTCTGAAGCACATGTTGGGGTTGAAACTTGTTATCTATGACCACAATCCATGTCGCAATGCTCCAAAAGTAGCAAAAGGTGTTCGGAGAGTTGGAAGATGGTCTGAAGAAAGTCCAGAACCCAAGAAAAGGTCTGAGATGGAAGCAGAGCTTGAAAAGCTTATAGAAAGTAAAGACGTACACTCTACAGTTGTTAATGAAGCAACACCGCAGAATGTTAGTCATATGGAAGCAACCACTTCATTAATCTAATTATACAGACTATGTTAAATGTAAAGGTATGGCAATTTACTCAAGTTCAGAGAGAGCAGAAGTATATTTTTGCATTCCTGGAAATGCAGTAATAATTTTTTACACATATCATTTTATAAATGTAAATACTTTAAGTATGGCTAATTGTTGATCAGAGAAAGTTGTTTTATTTGGGAAATATAACTGTTATGGACTGTTTATATGTGCATGCATCCTCCACATTTTGTTTTGAACAATTAAAAGGTATCACATAGAAGCATTGGTCACAGACAAATTATCTCACAAAATTAGAAGGTATCTATTGATGAGTCCCGCATCTTGGCAGGTAAACCTAATCTATTGTTGCTATTTTTAAAAAATCCTTCCATGATGGAATACAATCTAAACAACAACAGCGGATGTACATGTGCTTGTATGACAGCTTTATCGCTAAGTGAATATCAATTTCTATTATTCCATGCACACTGAGGACATCGGCACTTGCTAGCAATATCACCAAATATTCCTGTAGCATGCAGAGTGCTCCTCTCAGCTAATCAGAATCACCCTTCACTATTTACACTAAGGATGAATTATTACATTAAACGTTACTATGGATATGCATAAGTAATAATCTTCCCAATACTATCCCAACTTTACATATCTTTACTTGTAAAGTCATGCTAAATGTGTTGCCTAAGAGATGACTTTGATATAATCAAATATTTGGATTTTTTATTTAATTTATAGTGTTTTTATACTGTATATACCTCATTCACAGTGGATGTAGTTTAACAATTAATTTGTGACACAATCACTATAATTTATATACATGCATGAAATAAATAAAATGAATTAAGTTATTTACTGTTTAGGTATATAGTAATCAGCTAGAGATTATTAAAGGCCTTTTGCGATATGTAGCTGTGGTCAAATGGCTTTGATTTTAGGGTTTTTCATTAAGTTACACTAAACATCATATCTGCAGCTCAAAGAGCATTAGCATAGTTTTATGTTTTAGATATAATGATAAAGAATAATGCCCCTTTTAGGCAGCCGTTCTGATCAGATGCACGTGTCAGTTTTTCAGTCAGATCCGATCAGAAGCCCAATGTTAGTGTATGGGCAGCCGGATCTAAACGCATGTACATCCATTTACATCCAATTCCCTCCAAGTTCAGAATACAAAACGGAACAGAGTTCCGTCTTGGCAGACCGGATGATGATGGATCAGAGGTAATCTGAGGGTAAACAATCACATGTCCGCTTACATCCGACTCCCCATAAACCTAACGTGGGTCCAGTAAGTTCAGTTTTTTCTTCCATTGCAGGATGGAGAAAAAACCTGTACGGATACAGATATCACAAAGATGACATCCGTACTGCTCTGATCAGCAGAGGATCTGTGCATGGGCGCCCATGTGAAAGGGACCTAAGCAAATAGAGTATACCTAGTGTTTTTGACATCCAGAGAGAATTGTTTTTAATATTGCTCTGTATGGCAATTTTTCAGTAATAATTACGACATAACACTAACAAATAAGCGCTAGAAAAGATTTTCACTTAAAATTGTAGTGTCCCATATATTAGTGGTCAGTGGAAAGAATGCCCTGGTACACTGGTGGCCAGTGATAAGAATGTGTCTAACAAACAGCATACTCTGCATTTTAGATGACCTTATAGTTGTCAGTGTTTAAAAAATTAAGCTAGCCATACACGGCTCGAATTTCAGGCAATTTCTGCTCAATCTGCCAAAATTCCAGAGGTGTTCGTAAGATAAAAGCCGGACGGGCCGGTGTGCGCAAGCGCACACTGCCTCTTCGGCATTGCGTTTATCGGAAACATGCCCCTCAGGAGGGCGCAGCTTGCGATCATCGCAAGTACGATCAGCCTGTCCAAGATAGGCATATCGTACGTTTTTTTAATTGCCTTACAACCATCGTAAGACAAAAGTCTTGCGATGGTTGTAAGGTGTGTGCCCAGCATTACACTCTCTGTTGGAGCTTTATATTAAAGTATAACTAGTGTCTCCCATTAAAGATATGTGCTGCAACATTTAAAGGTACTGCATGTGCAGCAACATTTAATTATAAGTGTACGTACAGTTTTCTCCTGCAAACAAGTATAAAATACATCTTGTGCCCACCTAATGCAGCAACAATTCTGAATTAAAATAGCATTGCCAGCCACGTGTAGGTTGTGCCTGCTTGGACTACTGTACAGTGGGATGAGAAGATATTGCAAGAGGTGTGGTTATTAGCATTGCCGCTGCCAATTCATAAGCTTGTCATTAAGTACATTAAGAACCTGGACACACCTAGCCCTGCCTACTGCTTTCTGGATTGACAGCCCTGCTTCTGTTGATGAAACCTTCCCACTGTGCTTTCTTTTTTCCCCACCCTCATTTTACTACCGTTTTAAGCTCAGTGGGCCGGACCATTATTGCTATATTTACATTTTTTTAATCATGTTTCACTATTCTATTGTTTACCTCCAGTTTTCAAAGCTTGCACAAAAACTCCCCACCCCAAACCACCCATTTTCTGAAAGTACAGGGCCCAGTAAAAGGATGGTAATGCTGATTTTGAACATCCCGTGATAGTTGCACAAATGTTTGTCAAAACAATGTATTCTATAATAGTTAAACTAAATTGTGCCTTTTTGCAATCAAATGTACGCACAACTACATACAAACAACTTGAGCTAAAACCCTGGAGGCTGGCTTCTTACTTCTGCGTTGTGAAATGCCCCCCAATCGCACCTTAGCATATATGCATTTCAGCAGACCAGAATGCACAGATGGGAATCACCTGCACACTGCAAAGAAAAAAGGTTTATGCCCGATTTTATTGGGTTGTGGTGCACTGACATCCCAATTCACACATTGCTGTGTTGCAGTGCTCATTTGTATCATTGCCGAACACAGACAGGGCAAAAACCCTTGCTTTGCATAGGGTATGTTCACAATGATGCAGGTATAAATTTTATCACAACCCAGTGAGTGGTAATATACTAAATTGCTAAATTGTGGGTAGTCCCCCTGTGTATGCCTAGTTTTACACCTCTCCCCCTAATTGCATAAATCGAAAAAAAACAGAAAGTTGTAAGGGTTTCTGGAATTTTTTCACTTATACACATATACATATATAACAATAATCGGATCAAACATTTCCCACACCCATCTTCATTGTCAATTGAAATAAGCAGCATACTCTTTAATGAAATATTGAAGACATAATATACTCCTATCAGTAATCCAGAACAAATGGTAGGGTATGCTTAAAATCTAGAGGTATATGCAAAAAGGAGGGTGGAAGTATATCCAGAACGTAGAAAATACCCCATTGAGTTCCCTACATTAGAGAGACCCAATATAAATGAGTACAATGTTACTGTAGGGTTTAATGTCTTACAAACATTCTACCATAGAACCAATAATTCTGGCGATTGGGACGACACCTACCGCAATCAGTTTCCTCTCCCTTAAAGACCCCGGGGTCCCAGGTGTGACAAACCAAGCAAGCAGTGGAGGCAACGGTGGGTTTTATCCCGCCTGCTCCCGACTGGCTTCCTGGGCACTTCTCCCTCATACTGCAGACCAACCCGGCATGGTAAGTAAGAGCTCTCAGAATAATTATTTAGGATGTAACTGACCCATCTGGGGTCTCATTTAGGAGTATATAGTACAAATAAATTTAATGTATGCATCAATGAATATATAGAACGGCAATGTGCTGTGACAACAAACCACAGCACACAATGCACACCACCATTATGTGCACTATAAACAGGTGCCTCCTGTGATGGCCTATGCATTACCACAATGAGTGTAATGCACATGTAGTGCGTGTGTGTGTGTTTGGGGCCAGAATTCCCACAAGGACAACCGAGGCCCAGCGTTGGGTCAGCAGGGATTAGAGGGGGAGCAGGGGTGTGGAATTCCTATCTCCCGACGCCCAGGACATGCAGCCTGGCATTGGGGCAGCAGAGAGAGTAAATCCGGCCCCGTGTTTTTAAAAATTATTTATTTGTTAACCAGTACTGTCATCAGAGGACGTTAGTGAAATATCAGGAGTCTTATCACACCCCCAAAGGTTCAATTTTGAGGTAGATGAAGGACAGAGACCTCAATTTCCTTTTCCTCTGGCCAAAATTCACTGAAACTAGAAGTGTTCAGTATTGAGCACAAATGTGATCACACAGAAATGTAAGAGATTGTAACCATGCCATTCCTTGGCCATCATGTTCACCAATCCCTTCAGTTATAAATGAATGCAAGAGTGCTTAGTACAAAGTTATCTCAATTCAAGACAATGATGATATAGTAAACATGAGAAACAGGTTTACTATTGCCCCCTGCTCCCCATCCTGAAGAGATCCAATCCTCCCCACTGTGTGCACGTAATCTGATCCCAACTACAATCCACTGTCTCTGCCAGTAGTGGCTTGGGGATTGGAGGGCAGACAAATGGCAGAGACAGCAATTTGTGGAGGGTACAAAGAGGGGATCTGATTGTGGGCACACCAGGGGGAGGATCTAATGACAGGCAGGGCACATTGTGGGCAGCAGGTGCTCAATTTTTTTTTATGAATGACCATGATCAACAGCTTGTCAGCCACTGATCACTGCTATTCACCAGTCTCAAAGACCCTTCTGCTACAGGTCATGGTTGCTGACCATGAGCCTTTAGTCGGGTATACACGTGTCGAATTTCTTCCGGTTCCTGATGTCGTCACCCTTCCACCTCAATCAGCTAATCGAGGAGCTGGATGGAAAATTCTCAGCCGAATGGAGCTAGCAGCCATTCAGCTGCTAGCTCCATTTGGGCATTCTGACAGGAGTCGCTATCATAATACTGTGCAAATAGAGGGGAATTTGTCCCTCAACACTCGTAAGCCTTCAAGGAGAAATCTACTATATTTTTTTTGAACAAAAAAAAAAAAATTGACATATATACCCATCCACAACCACTATAGCTCAGATTGGTAGCAAAGTAGTACTAGCACTGAGTAGTGAGTAG